CCCAGACAGTTCCCGAGCAGCGATCACTGCTCCCCGGCCAAACCCCCCCCAGTTTATATACCGGGGCATGACGTCATATGGTATGGAATAGCCCTTTGGGCAGTTTGGATCAACTCTTCTGGTTGTGCCCCCTCCCAGCTTCTTGTGCACCTGGCAGAGCATGGGAAGGTGAAAAGTCCTTGACTAGCATAAGCAGTACTCAGCAACAACTAAACCATCAGTGTGTTATCAACATTCTTCTCATCCCAAATCCAAACCACAGCACTATGCCTGCTACTAGGAAGAAAACTAACTCTATTCCAGCCGAAACCAGGACACATATGTATAGGACTTAGACTTTTGTGGGTTTTGCACCCAGAATCTCTGTAATCTAGTGCTTTATTCTTTGTTGTTTTCTTTTCTAAATATATGAACGCCTCAAAACCTATTATTGACAGGTTTTTGCTATAAAATTTTTGGCACTTTTTGTCTGAAACAGATTTACAAAATAATTCTGCCTTCATTATATTTATGAATATGGGTTCTCTTGAAACTGCTTCTCTGAAAATGCAAATTTGAAGGTTTTTGAAGATGAGGACATCTGTTCATCGTGTTTGTGCTGTGAGACCCCGGTATCTTCAGTGCCCTTGTACTATTACATTTTGAATAAAACTAAAGCTGAACTATTGCAGATGACTAAAAGCTATGCAACTGTAGTTTGAGCTAAGTGTAGCTTTTTCGCAGACTATTTTATGTTGCAGATGAAAATTTTATTTTATTTAATTTCTGTTTATTTAAGGGACATGCTGGATAAGAATTCATAGGTACAATGTATGAAAACTTACATTCTGAGATCTTCAGAAGGATAACTGTGGTTGACTACTTTTCTGTTTCACTGAAACAATCCTTTGAAAAGCTTGTTATGCTCTCTGCTGGTCTTGTAGTAATGAAAAAGAAAACTTTTTTGTTTGATTTTGATTTTTATTCTTTTTTTCATACAGATTTTGATGATTCTCTTAATCTTTGGAAGGCTCCATCCAGTCAAAGCCGATCTTCACATTCTCAGTCAACGTCCGAAACTATGGTAACTTATGGAGTAATCTGTTTATTTTAAATATAAAGTTTTTCATGAAATGCTTTAAAGAAAATTAGCACTCTTACAAATGCTAAAAAAATCCCAACAAAACACAAAACAAAACTGAAATTAAACTGAAAATTAAGAAGATGAAACTAAATTGAAATTTACTCTGAAGTACCTTTAATATGCTAAAGAAAACTTTTATGGTTATCTACCAAGGCAAAAATAAATAAAATAGCTTACCTTGACTAGTTAAACGCATAGGGCAGCGTGGAATTCTGTAGCTTCTCGCAGCAAGACATATTCTCTAGAGAATACTTTGTAATTGGCTTTATTGACAAAATGCAGTCATCTCCTTCTATAGTTGTCACTTCTGCTGCTTTTATCCAGACTGTCCTTTCAGAGTGAACCTATATTTACTTTACAGAGCTACAGAACGGGATCAATCAAAACCACAGAAGTACATTGGGTTAAAATTATATTCTGTGTCATAATAAACTGTGGATTCTGAAAATGCTTTTATAAAACATAAAAGTGGCACAAGTGTTTGCAAGACCCAAAATAGACATGAAAAATAAAAGAAAGCAGGTGGCTGCTTGAAAAATTTGTTTCTGGCTAGGACGATTAGTGCAATGAAAGGCTGTAAACATACGCTGTCTTTCGGGATGGAGAATGCAAAGGAGGAGAAACTGAAATACATTCTTCCAGTTCCAGAGCAGATTTGCAATATCAGTTCAGGCTGTGGAGGAAGCTTTTATAACATTCATTAGTTACCTCATAAAAATCATGTTTTCAATGGCTGCAGCGTAACTCAAAGAAAACTCTGACATATTGCACTGAAATCCATTTTTATAATTTTGTATTTTCTTCAAAAATTTTTGATTTATGAAAAACCATCTAATGTAATATGGAAGCCATAATATCATAGCTCAGAAGTTTCTTTTCTGTTAAACAGATGTGCTGATATGACAAAGAGTGTTAAAGCACAAGATACTCTTTTATTTTATTGACTAAAATTGTTATGCCCAGTTTTGCTGTGGATTGTGCTAAAAATAAAACCATAAAAAAGCTAGTATTGAAATTCTGTCTCAAAATATTTCACAATTATACTTTTTCCTTACTGTTTTGACTCTCTATTATAAATGTATTGCTGTCTAGTACTGTTACCATTATCCTGCATGTTTTTAATAATTGAGGAAAATGTGTACTCTAGTTTTAAGCTAAAATTTATCTTTTTCAGAAATTTTATTAATGAATTTGATTTTCGTTTATCTAAACCAAACCGAACCAAAACCCTCCAAAAATGCTTAGGGTTATTCTAAACACAAATATTCAAATTTGAATATTTGAAACTAAAAGAAATGAAAGTGCGTGTAAATCAGGAAGTAGATGCTAACATGAATGCTGCTTAAAAAACATTTATGTAAGAATCTCAGGTTGTTTAAAAGCAGTTGTTTCCAAATTGCTTTTTACTGAATAAATTGAGTGCCACTTTCTTATAGGAATACAATTTGTACAAGTTTCATCTTGTTTTGTTCATGTTACTTGAGGGAAAAATTAAATTTCAGCAATTCTTATCAGGGTTGAGTGTCTAATCTACTTAAACGTGTGCTTGAGTTCTCATGAAGAGTTGAAGAGTTCTTTACATGAAATTGCTTGAGCTTCTGTAGCTTGAAAAAATAAAAAAGGAAAAATTAATTTGGAATCTACTGGATCAAATTAATGTATTTTTATTTATATGTGTAAAGTAGCATCATAGTTTAACATAAAGGTATAGCTCTACAATTCCATTTAACAAATGGACAGCTAATTATTTAAAGTGGAAAGCACAGTGTAATACTAAGATACATTAGCTGTAAGAGCATAATCTTAGCAAATATGAAGTCTGCAACATCTGGAAGACGGATGTGAATGAGTGTAAGAGAGTTTTATTCAAGTTTGTTTTCTGTTTTGTTTTGTTTTCCTTCTTCCCATAATACATATAAAGATTTCACACAAAAACTTTGATTGTCGCTTATAGAAGTTAATTTAATTTCCATTTGTCCTTCATGGACCTCTTTCACAGCTGTAAACTCTTTTTTTTATTAGCTAAGTTTCTTACCTTTAAAAAAATACCACTGCTGACATGACAGATGGTAAGTTTCCAAGCTGGAAGGCAAGATGCAGAGGTCTGATGTTCCAATGCCAGTATTAATTAGGAGAAGAAAGATAGAGGAAGGGAACTGACGCTAAATACAAACTGTATTTCAGAGGGCAGTTAATGACTATTAAGTGTCTTTCTAGTAAAGTTTGGAAATACTTTTAAAAACTCAAACTTGTCCAGAAATCAAGCAATTGCAATTTATTCCTGTATAACTTCACATTTTATGTTCCTACAGTTTGGCCCAAAGCTTTCCATTTTGGTGTATGAGAAAAAGAAATACATTTATGAAGTCATTACCAAAAGTTTGTAGAAGTTTGTCTCTAAATTTTATATATTGGTGGTACCAGGAAGATATAGTTATTCCAAGCCCACTAGATGGCATGCTTTCCCCATTACAGTTGAAAGGGAGTCTGCAAGTCCTATTTGAATGGATTTTTTTTTTCTTTGGGTGTATGGTACAGATTTGATACAACAGCCACAAATAATTGAGAGTTACCAGCTACCAAACCAAGTAGAATTGTTTCTATTGGAAGCTCTTCTCTGATATTTTAATAATATTTTTAAAAAAAACAAGTTCTTCTAAATATGTCCATATCCATTCATTTCATAAATGTCAGTCTAGGAAGCTGAAACTGCTTTTTGCTTCAGTAAGCCAAATCCTGAAGATCTCTGCAGAAGCAAAAATGATGTCTTTTTACTGAACTATATGAATTTCTTTTCTGCAAAAAGAAAATTCTCCTGGATATTTTTCATATTTGAAAACAATTCTGACAAAAAGAAAAAGACACTTAGTTTTCTTTGTTTTCAGATTTCATGTAATCAATACTTTAATTGAGCTGTCTGCTATCAAAGGCTGATTTCACACTGTTCGTATAACCTTAAGAGAAAATAGTATCTAAATTACTTTTTGGCTTCACCTTTTTTTCCCCATCCCCAAATTTTTCCCCAAATTTGCAGAAAGTAAAAATGAGAAAAATTAAAAAGCAAGTATATTTATAACAGAAATTATTCTTTTTTTACTCTAGTCTATAAAATAGTCTGTCAGAGGTCTTGCAGAGGCCATGAGTATAATTTTGCCCATTTTATAGAGCAAAGAATAGCAATGTGGGGATGAAATCAATAATTCAAGGTCATGCAAAAGACAACAGCAGAGCTGGATTGTCTGTGCTCTGTTAACTCATATGGACTGTATTTAGTGTCTGTAAGATCTCAATGGATTACAGATTTTTTCAAATTTATCTTTATTTTTCTCTACACTGGAATGTGGATGCTGTAAAAAGTCCAATTCTGAGAAGATTAAAAATCTTTGTCTTTTATAGAATTCATAGTTTGAACATTCGCTCAGGTTATCATTACACAGAGCAAATCCTTCTTCTTATTTTACCCAACATGTTTGTTTTGTGTTTAGTATGTATGATTGAGAACACCAATCAGCATGGAGATACGAACTTGCTTCACACTGCATGAATACACTAAGGCTGTTATGTGCCCAGGACTGCTTAGCAAAATGAGCAGTTATTTAAAAACTTGAGCTAAAAATGGTGCAGGTTAAAGATCTACAGACATCTCCCAGATAGCTTTGAGTCATGGCCACTCTTTCCTATGAAATCTTCTTGCTATTTTACAAAAATGTGTGCGCTATTTTCCAGTACCATGGTTACCAAAATGCTATACAGTTAAGTGATTTAAACCTTTGAAAAGAGAACTGAATAGAATTAATCACTGCAAGCCTGTTAAAGCAATGCCAGAGGGATTTTTATACTAGAGGTTAAGAAAAGACATTTTATTCATATCTAGCAGATAAACGGCAAAGCCCTCACATTTCTCCTGTATTTCCACTCAGACAATTTTTGTGTTCTTTTGTATTAGTTCTAATCTGCAGTTGTCATCTCCCCCCACATAAAACCCTTTCTCTTTCCCAATTAAACCCCCTTCCAAAGTCTGTTGTTTCACTGTTAAGCAACAGAATGCTTTATTGCTCCAAGAAAGAATATGGTGGCAGTAGTAAATATCCTTTACTAGATACAATGTCCCAGACTCCCAGTTCATCCTTATCAAAGGTGATTTATAAAAGTGGTAATATCTTTTCTTTCCTGGAAGGCAGAACACTGTGGAAACAACTTCATTGTGCTACTGTATGTTTTCTGTTAAGATAGCAGAAAATTTCTGGTTTTAACCCACGTCCCACTGTGAAGCAATTACCAATGAATGTTCTATCAGTGCAGGAAGCTGGTATTTTTCTGACCAGATAAAGCTTTTATTGATTTTTTAAAAAAAACCCCATATCTAAGACCTTATTTTTATTTCTTTTCCCAAAATGTTTAGACAGTTTTAGAAGATGGAGAAAGAATTGTGTGATGTAGAAGCTGTTATTTACTAATATGTGAAAGCTTGCATAAATTCACAATAATATCTTTAAAACTACTCTCAGTATACCAATAATTCCTTTAAGGGCTCTACTTGTTGCAGAAGAACCATATGGACTGTTAGAAGTTGCATTTTGGGTTTGTACTTTTTAAGAAAAGGAGTTATGTTTTTTGTCATTTATTGGAATGAATGGAATTGAAGTATATTGCTGAATAAATGCAGAATTTATCATGTGTCAAGATGGATTGATTTACTCTAATATAAATAATGGATTTCAATAATTAATGAGCAAGCATGAAACTTTAAATAATATATTTCGGTTGGCAAATACGGGTTTTATTTGTATACTCTAAACAGAATTCGGTACTGCATTTTGCTAACAAGACAATTAATTAGCCAAGCATGTCCTAGTGTTCATGTGACCCAAGCTATATGTGAATCCTGGGTTTCAGACATGCACCCCAAATCTTACTGTAGCTTGTCTTCTGTGTTACAATAACCTTCAGGCTTTTTTGACGAACGACTGAGCATGCTTCAGGAGAAAGATTCAAGACTGTAGGGTGGACAGTAGTGGGAGACCAGGGGAAAACAGGGGAGAGAAGGGAGTTACAGCATGGAGATGGCAACCTTTAGCTCATGCAGGGACTTGGTCTCAAGTAGAGATGTGCTGATAGAAGCCTAACTATTTGGAAGCTGTGGAAGGTGGGGTTAAACCTTCTAGGGGATGACAAAAGACTAAGTAGAGAGTTTCTGTAGCTCAAAATGCTGCTGAGTAAATCAAAGCCAAACCTGGAAAGCAGTGACCTAACTGCAAGGATACAATAGCTAGCTAGGAAGGAAGTAATCTAATTTCCTTCCCTCCACCCTTTTTGTCAATTATGTCACTTTTGATTTTTCCTCAGGTAAAAAAATATTCCAACTGATATTCTAATAAAACTTTAAAAAGAAAACCTTTGAAATATTTTGGTCTTCCTCAGAAAGCTCACTGTGAGGAAAAGTCTAACAACATTCTTCTTCAAGCTGTGACTGTCTCAGGATTTCACTGGGTTCCCCAACGTTCTGTATTCTTTACGCTGTATAGTGACACTCTTGAAGAAAATTTATCTGATGTGAATTGTCCAGCTAGAAGACAAAAAACAGAAGTGAAAAGTGACTTGACATGGGAGATGCTTATCCGATACTCTGAAACAAGTCACAAGTCTTGTGTCACGAAAGCATATTATTAAGCTGGAGACTCTAGGTTGTCTGATCTCAAGCTTTTGGTTTTAACACAGTAGCAAGAGCATTAAGAACTTTTGAAAGCATGCAAAACTAATCACATGATACATAATGTAGAATTGGTAGGAGGAGCATGGTAATATGACAGTAAAATTATCTACTGTCATGTAAAAATCTCATATCTTCACCATGAAATGAATACATGTAAGGATCGCAGGACTAAGGTTAAGAGAAATACCCAGAGATGGAAAGACTTTGGAACTTCAACTTTGGCTGATGACTAATGCACTTGTGATATTTTTATATGTGAGCGTGTCCTGGTACAAATGAACAAGTGCTGATGCTCTCAGTAGAGCAAATAGTCCATGAAAAACTTGAGTTTAAATGCTTCAGTAATGCCTTTATATCTTTGTCCAAACATAGATTGAATCAATTATATGGATGAAAAAGAAGGATGAAGAGGAGGAATTTTCAGTAACATGGGCATTGATCAGTTTTTAACTGAACTGATTCAGGCTGTTCATATTGCACATCTTTCAATAGTTTCAATTATTGGATGTTTATAAATGATATATATACACACATATAGTGAGCAAAATGTAATCCAATCGGGTTTGAACAGTAATTTTTACATTGTTTTTGGTTTTGTGAGTTTGTTGGGTTTGGTGTGTTAGTGCGGCTCCCCTCCCCCCTCCCCCCTGAAAAATATAAATAGAACTCTGCTCTATAAAAGCTGGAATCAACTTGTTTTCTTTTTATGTCTTTCTAGATTGGGTCTGCATCACCATCACTGGGGAGTGTTCCTGAGCTTCAGGCAACAGTCCCAAAGAATTCAGCGTGTTTTATTCCTGCAACTGTAGTTGATCGGCTTACAGCACAAGGTAAGTCAAACTTTGAGTTTGTGTACATAATGATGAATACAATGTATTAGCCTGCCCATGTTCCAGTATTCGTACATGCACGTAAAGCTTGCGTATTGCTGGAACAATCACCATTGATGCTTCTAGTGGTTGTTTTGGAAGACAAAATGAAATGAAAATAGGTGAAATGCATTTGACAGAAGTAAGTGAAAACGGTTGATACTGCTTGAAATGTAATTCAAGACTTAGGTTCTATTCCTGTCATCCAGTCACTCTTTCAAAACATTCAGTTTTGGTAAAGCTGTCATATACATACATGCACATGCCCACACATGCACACACACACACACAGATGTATATATAATTCTCTTTATATGTAGAAAGATAAAAATGGATATAATGTAAAAAAATATAGAAAATGATGTATGTGGAAAACGATATCCACAAATATAAAATATTTTTCTGTTAAGGAAAGAAGCGGAAATTTATTTCTTTCCAAATTTACCGTTTATCTTTAATGGTTATTAGTGCCTTGTAGAAGGGACATTTTATTTCAGAGCTATTTTAAATAACACTTTTCCTGTATCTGATTTCTTGGTTGCTTTTTCTTTTTTTTTTCTTGTTCCAGAATATACTGTTTTAAATGTAGAGGGAACTTGGATATTTTATGAAAAAGAAAAGCGATTTGTTTTATGTAAATGCTGTAATTAATCTTTTGTGGTTTTTTTTTCTTTTTCTTTTTTCTTTATTAAATACATTCTAGGACAAAGTGATACAACCACAACAGAATCTCCAAGTCAACATGATTCTCCCATGTCTGCTACTCTGTCTAAACAGCGTGCTGTAGTCACACCTGCCCTTTTGTCAGCTGTTTGCAGCCTTCTGCACAATCTGTTGGTTGTCACACCACAAGATACTGGAATTGCTCTTCAAGAAGCACATTTGCTAACAGCTCTCAGCAGGTATGAAATCAGTAGCTGCTGAACTACGAACAAGGTGTAGCAATAGAGGTGAAAAGTTTGAAATGAGATCTAACAGTGTTTGTTACCAAAACTGTTAAATATATTGACCACTTCTTGCTTCTGAAGTGTTCAAAAATGCTTTTTTTTTTTTTTAAATACAGTCAACAAAAGAGAGGAAGTTGGATTATTTATTTTTTTCACAGAAAAGGTAGTCATTGGTGATTCCATTTGTGGTGTCTGTCTTCTGCAGGACTACTGTGTTCCTCTGGTAATGTTTTAGGTTTTTGTCTAGAAGACCATTTAGTGATCCTTTTTAGAGAGGTAATTTTTAATTTTTTTTTTTCTTTAGTAGAACAGTACATGATATAGTCAGGTATTGAGAATTGCAGATCGTTTCAGTTCATTTTATGATTTTCTTCTTTGAATTGTATGCAATATTTTGAGGATGAGCCAAAGGCTGTCACAGTAAAAGAGAGTAAATAATGCTTGCCAGATATGGGAAACTATTGGATGACAGACCCTAGTGTTTTGTTCTTTTTTAAAGAAGCAACCACTTCAAAATAGTCTTCAGATTGTATTCCATGCTTCCACTTGCATCATAACAAATTCTTTCATCTGTAGAAAGTGTTTGGAAGTCCTGAAGTGCAACATGAAAATTAGTTCAGGGGTTTTTTTAAGGTTTTCAAGAGCTTTTGTAGTGGCTTTTCATACTGCAATTAATGAAAAAAAAAAAAAAACCAAACCCCAAACAAACCCAACAACCCTTGTTTGAATACAGTTTATATTATGACAGAGCTGTTTATTCTTCTACAGGAAAGAAAATAAGCAATCAAATATAAACAAACAATTTTTACCAGTGCAGTAACAACCATTGGAATTTGTTAGTCTAACTATTTTGAAACAACTTACTACTACTATAGTGCCATTGCACTAAACTTACTGCTAAACCCCACTATTTTAAGAAAGTTCTTAATAATTTTTTACTCTGTTTATTTAAAATGTTCACTTCTATGGAATGTTAAGTTAGTAGAGTGTTTAGTTATATATTTCTAACCAACTTTATTTTATTTTAGTCTTGTAAGTGCTAATCTGGTTGAGAGATGTATCTTGGAACTGAAAACTCCATTGGGTCATCCATGTCATATAGAACATGTAAAAGCTCAGGTTAGAGAAGCCTTTGTTACTTTCTAATTTTTTAAAATTTTTTGAATTATGGAATGAATTACATTTGCATAATCTGTGTTCATTAACATAGTCCATACACACTGCTATAAGCTACTTTCATGTGAATCTCTGTGCTTTTGACAAGGTTTAAGAGAAAATAACCCGTGTTATATTCAACACAGAACAATTCATTTCTGTGTTAGAACTATACCTAGAACCATCAAACTGAAAACCAATTGTGTTTTAAGAACACAAACTGAGTTTAGCAGTTACAGAAATCATGTAGTAGAATTTCTTTGTACGGTATTGAAGTACGAGCCAGATACAGTTGCTGACACACTTCATACTTATTTTCCGCAACAAACCTGGCTGCTTTGCTTTGTCTCCAATCCTGCAGACACTTACGTAGTTCTCAATTAATTTTGATTAATGCAAAATGTATAGGATTGCTGCCAATGAAACTACTTTTGTATCAAATTTAACTCTGTATAGTTAACATATAGAACATATTATCTTCATGGCACAGCACCATTTTAAAGCTTCATAACCCAGGTTATGAAGAAAATGTGTTTTTGCAGGAATCTTGTGAGAATAAATAAATGAATATGTTGGGAATAATTTTTTTCCTAAAGCTTCGAACTGAGCTTCTGTTTTCAGGAAATACACATATATTTGTCAATATTAATGACCATTTTTTATGGTTTTCTTTGTGAGCTTCAAGAGAATATGATGCTGTACATATAACGAGAGTCATGACTTTCTCACAAGGAACTTTATTCTTTGTCACTAGAAAATTGATTTCACACATTTCCAAACTAGGAATTCTGTTTCATTTTATACAGTAAAAATTAGGACAACAACTTTTAATTTATATCCTATTATTTCTTTTAAGTGGTGTTTATTAATTCCAAATGTTATGAATAAGTTGAGGTAATGTGAGTATTTAAATTAAAAAAAAATATGTGGAAGGTGCAAATATATGGCTTTATTTCATATCTTTTTAAAAATATTTAACAGGTGTTATTACTACTTCAATACTTGTCATCTGTGTCCCGACTTCTGAAATCATGTTTATTGGTGGACTCTCAGCTTGTAATCCAGGATGAACTGTTGAAACCTCTGTTGGGAAATACCTTCACAATTCTTGCCATTCGCTCCAAAGATGGGTTAGGTAATGAAGTACTTTGTTTCCAGCATAGCCAGGCAGACACAGGTCTTCATTTACGTACCACCTTCATTTAAATTGACAGTTGTTGTCAGGCTTAGCTATCCAGGTTTGTGCACATGTATAAATGGTTTAATTTTTTTCTATGTTATCTTTGCAGATACCGAATTAACATCTGTATTTCATGAAACACGGGTAGACTTTTTCAACCTTCTAGCTACATTATTGTGGAAGAGTGGCCAAATATCTTTTCCATCTGTGACAGCAGCCTTTGCAAATCATTGTACAGCAATAATTGGTAATAACTATTCCTGGATGGGTTTTAACCTAGCAACTACTAAAATAAACAAACAAATAGAAAAGAGGGGCATTCCTGTTTAGATACTATTAAGTAATTACCAATGCATATCCAGAATGAAAACCAAATGTGTCCAGAGCTTGACTGACTTTTTCCCTTAATTGGATTTTTATAACTCTTTCATATACCATCAGACTAACTTTTGATAAATTCACAAATTTTGTTTGCATATATGGGTTAGTAATTCTAGTTGTAAACCTTAACCAAATACGGCACCTTTGAGTAGAGCCTGAAATGATCCATTAGCATTTAATTTTTTTCCTTTTTTTTTTTTTAATATCTTACATAGAAGGAAAGCAAAATTTTGAGGGGAAATAAGAGATATAGGAATTCAAGATTATTATACAGGGTTTTGTTTGTTTGTTTTTTAATTATTCCTTTATTAGTTACTTGCCTAGTCAGGGCTATAGGTCATCAAGATTCTATGACATCTTTCAGTACTGAAATATGAGCATAGTCCTCAAGCTTGTGATTTCAGCCAGGTGCATGTTAAGTGATCTGGTGAATCCAAATCCAATTGCACATAAAGCAGCTGATGGGTACTGTTGGTATTATAATGTAAGGTGTTGAATAAAGTGAGGAGATTTCAGAAAATTGTCGAACAAATGGGTGATTTAGCAAATGGAAATTGCTTTTGTTGTTTTATAGTCATATTAATGCAGAGCAATTAATTCATCCAAACCTATAGAACTCAAACTTTTCTTTCTTAGATTTTTAAGGATTTATCAGATGCATAGAATATGTAGAATTCCTTGTGCAGTGCACAGGTGTAACTGCTTCTTGGCTCACACACTTTCTTTGGTAAGTCTTTCTGAGTCCCAAAGGACTTAAGCTTTATTCAGAATGAAATAAAAAAAAAAAATATTTTTCTGTTTACCTTTTCAGATACCATTTGTGATTGTATTCATCTGTCAACCACATATCCTGCTTTATATATGGCTAGTTTACAGTTCCTCTCTGTCCTTTTGAATGAGGAAGGAAGAAGACAGCTCCAAGATAAACAGAGTATATGTCAGAATCCAACTATTAGCTTTCTTCTGGATCACATTGAAGGATGCCAGGCATCAGTAACTCAACTTACCGCATTAACTATTCAGGTATTTAAAATTTGACTATGTGATTGCAGGATATATTTTTGCATTTTTGTATTTTGTTAAAAAGGAATGTAGTTACCTAATGAAATTATCAATTGTTTCCAGTTATGAACATAAATATCTTTAATTTGAGATATCTATTACACTCATTTGTGAAACGCATGTAATAAGCTGGAACAATTGCAAAGAAGCAGCTTCTAGGAAGTGCTTTGCAAGGTAATTATCCTGCAACAGCATGGTGTGAAATCTTAGGTAGAGAAGATGATGCGTAGATAGAATATGTTTGGCCAAATACTGATATGCTTTTTATTTTTTTCTGCTTTTCCAAACATGTAATGAGATTTTTAAGGTTCAAGACTTAGTTATCCCCATTGTAAATGACAGCATTGTTGCTCTTAACAGCTGCCTTTGTAAAAATTGTGAACCAAAATGAATCATTAAGCCTTCTAGTTCATTCCCTGACAGTGTAAGATCAGTGTTGTTGCACTTAAGGAGCACATATTAGTGTATTTGCCAAGCTAGTTTTAAATTGGCCAGGTAGCATATTTTCACTAATTCTTTTAGGAACTTGTTGCCCGACATAATATATATTGGTCACAAGATGTTTTTTTTCTAGATACTTATTCTGAATGTTCTGTCTGTCTTAATGTAATCTCATTATTGTTATTTATAGTTTTATATACTGTCCTAAATTATTCTTTTACCTCCTTTATATTTACATCCTTCACTTATTTACAGACTGTTAAAATAACTCTCATTACTTAGTAATAAGAAAAGTTGTATGTGAATTTGTGTCTAATTTATTTTCCCTCACAAATTGTTTTTTTTATCTATATACTCGTTGTCCTTCTTTAAATTATGTGCAGTTTGCCAATGTAACAATAATAGTGATCCACGATTAGAAGTGTAGTGTTTGTCTGAAAGACTCACATTTCTTATAACATAATGTAGCTTGTGATTTCTGATGTTCTGAAGTCAGTGTCTTGTAATTATTTTTTTATAAGAATCACATTTAATACTATTTTGCTATGTAAAACATTATTTTTTTCAACATATTAGTGCATATTGGATGGTGTGACAAAAATAATGCTTAGTGTCACTTCATCTTCTCTCTTCCTATGGTTGTTGAATTCTTGTAGAATAACCTCACTTCTACCAAGACTTGTCCTGATCTGGCTAACATCTATCACACAACCTGTGGTCCTTTGCTGCTGTGTTACACCACTGTGGCTCTATAGCATTTATTGGGGCATAGTGTTCTGTCCACTGAAAACCTGGTGTCTTTTAGGGAGGAGAAACTTCCTGAGAGGATCTTTGTTGGCATCACTGTGTAGGCCACTAAAACTAGAATTCCCTATCTCTTTGGCAACTAATTTCAGATAATTTCAGTGCATAGAGATTTCCTGTGAGGACATGATTTTCAGACACTCTGACAGCAAAACAAGGGCACTTATTTGAAATCCCATAATTTGCTAATTATGCTGTTAGGTTTTTGTATTTAATGGTTATGTATGTGCCTAAAACTGAACTCCTTGTCTCTGGCACAAAAAACACAATTGCGTGAAAGTAATTTGGACAAAGACGTGTTGTGTTGTAAGTCACATTCCTCTATTTTCAAACAAGTATACGTAGCTGATTACCAATCTTCGGTAGCAAAAAGTGAGGATTCTTATGGTGACAGCAGAGAAAGTCTATACAATGAAAAATTAACTGCAGCCAGGCCAATGAAAGTACGTCAGACACTATGACATAGTTTGAGTATCGTAAGAGATACCAGCTTTTAACTTGCTCTTTAACTGTTCAGAGCTGTAGATGGACATTGCATTTTGTTCATAAAAGAGCTCAAAAGATGTCTGGGGCTTTATAATACATGAAAGGGGTATAGCTGCTATGATCCCCCAAAAATGATAACAGAATTAGGAAAGAAACAGCTTCATTTTTTAGAGCAAAGTACATATATTTATTTACTTCCCCCCTGCCATGGTGGTCATTGAGAGGCAGTTGAAAAGAGGAGCCCACCAGATGTAAAGCAAGCTATTAAAAAAACAAACAAACAAACAAACAACAAAAAAACACCCCCCCAAAAAAAAAACACCCAAAATTTCAATATGATCTTTCTTCAAGAAAAGCACTCAAGCAAATAATTGCCTAACATAGAAAAGGCTGTGAGAGAGAACTTTCAAACAATCAGTCATCTCCATTAATCATCCTAATTACATAAAATCTACCGAATAGGAACTATGCAATGGCAAATGCTAACTTAGGACCCAGTCTGCAGGTGTGAGTATTGGCAGACCAGGTCCTAAATGAGTATGCATTCTTGCATTCAACCAATTTAGTGAACACACATGCTGACTTTGAAGGGTTTTGGTGCTTTTGTGTATGAGTACAAACTTCAACCCTTGTGTACATGTTTTCAAGATCAGAAGTAAAAGTAATAAGGAAACCATAATCCATACGTAAAGTCTCAAATTTAGGCCCTACCTTTTCTTTCTAGGTATGAAGTTTACAATGTTTTAGAAATGCTGTGATCTCCCCTTCAACTAACTTATAGTATGTGCAGACTATCACAGCTAGATGTGCTGTGGATTTATGGGACATCTTAAATTTATTAAACATCATAATTTCAAAAAAGAATTAAAAGTGTCCATTCTCATTTTAATACTTTAGTACTAGTAGTTTAAAACTATACAGTCTGCTGGCAGAAGGCATTATAAATTTACATAGAGTTATTTTTTCCATTCAACTAGTAGTTAATCATCAATTAATTATTATTTAAGTGTTGCCTATGATTGACATAAATTTTCTTTTTTGTTATAAACTGCAATTCTTGATTACAGAGTAAGGAAAAAATGCAGAAAGGAGCATGCTTCAAGAAGGAATGGAATTTTGCTACTTTTTAAGATAAAATTTAGAAAATAGTAAGGTGAAATTAAAACTTTTAAAATATACAAATTTAGGACAACTCACCTTAATTATTTAATCAGTTTTAATCAGCCACATAATACTTAATTAAAGGAAAATACCCAAGAGATTGACAATGAAATATATTTTTTAATTACTAAAATATTCCTAAGTACTAAGAAAAAATAAAAAATAGCTAGCAACTTAATAAGGCAAAAGCCTTTGAGTGGATAAATGACAAAATCTACATGTTGGGTTATGCAGGATTGAAGGAACTCAACATTTTGGTTTTTTCCTGGCTGGTGTAAATAAGCATCAAGTTTAAACTTCTAAGCTTTTTATATTTTTAACTACTCAAACATCATCTTTAATTTGAAAAGAAACCACCACCTATCAGTATGGAAAAATAGTTAATCTACTTAGAACATTCTTGTGTTGCTGATAGCTTTGAGATTTCACGTGGGATCTAATAAAACCATTTGTAGTCCAAGTGTGAATTTTTATTTTTGTTAGCTATAAATGCAGAACCCAGTCCATGCTTTGGTGCTTTAATTTGGTGTCAGTTGCCCTTATCAATGAGGTTTGGGCTTTTTTGCAAGTCATAAACTTACTAGTCTTCATCCCTCGACCTTTTCAGTTCTGGTTGCACTGAACACTTCAATAAATGATAACCCTAGAGCATACATTGGTACTTCATTGTATATTAAAATTATAGGCAATTACTAACTGGAGGACTAAAGCCAATAAAAGGTGATATGTGTAATGTATGTAGAGGTGTAAAATCTGTGAGGTCCTATGGCTAGGTACTCAGGAGGTTTCTGTCTGAAGTATGAAGTTTTGCTTAAGATGCTGTATTTTTGCGTAACTTGGTTTTTCTTTCTACTATGATCCAGCAACAGTTCTTATTTTACTATATTATTCTGATTACAATGTGTATTTCAGTTATATTGGATGTCAGTATTGGAATGATATTTTAGGGAAAATTGCTAGATAGACAACTTCTCTAGTGAATAATATATAAAGCACAGACAGCTCCTCATCTTTCAACTATCTTGTTATATGATTCCAAATAGATCTTCCTTTGAAAGCACAGAGATTATATTTATGTTATTAGAAATACGGTGATGCTCACAAAGGCTTCACAAAAATAAGATTAAAAACTACCATTTTTCTCTGGTTGGAAGAATATCTAAAAAAAATTATCCATGTGTCAATGATACTTTTATTCTAAAGATTTTCACTGATATTTAATGTCTATTCTTCATCCTTGTGTTGAAGGAAAGTGAGATTGCACTAAAGGCATGTCAGTGCATTGTCTGTGATAGCAAGCCTGAACATTAGGAAAGGTCTGGAATGCCAGGGCTGGAAATTTACGTTTTAGGAAAGTAGAATGTTAAGAAAAGAGTAAGAGGAGTCGGCTTAGGAGCAAAAAAAATTTTTTTTTAACATTTTAATTAGAAAGAATAATTAAACACTTCAATGTAGACAGACTATAAACATGACTATAGAGAGGGAGAACTCTGGATAGGAAAATAGTGATGAATAATGCAAATGAAAATATAGACTGACAACATACTTATAGTTATGAATACTACTTTTAATATGTTCACTTTTTAAATAAAAAAGTAATGAAATTGCATTATTTGTAGGTCTGTGAAAGAAAATCTTCAAAGGATGTGCTGAAAGAAGCTGCTACAAATTTATTGCTGTCTCTGTTAGCTGTCAGTAAAAATGCCCAGAAATGTGCTTTGGAAGGTGAGCATTTAAAAATGTATGTTAAATGATTTATGAATCAAATGCTTGCAGGTGTTTTACATATTTTTTTAAATCATCATGTTTTTTTGTCAAAACAAAAGACCTAGTTTTCAGTGGCATTTTTTGCAGATTTTTACAGAGAAACCTTATTAATAATGAAAGTTTTCAGCTACAGGTAAAATATTATGTTATAGCCAGTCTAAAAATTTGTGGTGAAGTCACAGCTCTGTGTTAGAGTGAGAAGAGACCTGTGAGCTTTTACTGCTAGTGGCATATTCACCCGTTCAGCCGGGTTAGCTCAGTTGGTTAGAGCATGGTGCTAACAACGCCAAGTTCACAGGTTCAGTCCCTGCTTACTGCAGGGGGGTTGGGCTTGATGATCTCTCAAGGTCCCTTCCAACCCAAAGCATTCTATGATTTGTTAGCTATGATTTGTTTGAAACTGGAGATTTTGCACTGGCAGCATCTTCCACTTCTTGTTTCATGCTATGCCAATACAGGTTTGTAGGTGAAACTATGTCCTATGTTCTCAGTTCTGGCTGTACTTGGACATGAACAGACTTCTTTTACTCAGCTTTGTTCTTCCCTGCCTCTTTCCTTATTTCTTCACATTTTACAGTTTAAGTAGGACCTTTTCCCCTTGCAATGCAACATCTTCCATGCCTAAGGTTTTTAATTTGCAGTAGTAAAACAAAAGTAAAAAAACCTCTAATCAAAGGCTTTTTGTGCCCACTACAACACAGGGGAGACTGGTTAATTTGCATTTCTCATGTATCATGTATTTAATACCTGCTGATCAGCCCAAGTGCACTTTGTCTCGGGTGCTTTCTCATTAGTTGCATCTCTCTGTTGGTTTGTTCAGTTCTTTAAACCTATGCTGCACTGAAATAGATAGCCTAGATATATCTGCTCAATGTCTGATCCCAATAGTGGCAGAAAACTCCAAGCTTCAAATCCTATGCTGTATACCTACTTTCTGCTCTTTCCCAGTGTATTGCTGGTCTACTCAGCCCTTGCTTCAATCAGGTGGTTCTTCTGTTGATGACCCACTGGATCATCCTTAGTAAGACCTGACTTACTGTGAAGGCGATACCAGTGCATGAAATGCATCATGTTCTGTGCTAGAGCAGCCTTCACGTCATCCTTGCTGTGATGCAACACATCTTAGAGGAGCTTTGGGGTTCACATCAAAGGCCTGAAGATATCTGTAGTTCTACATTCACCTGTTCAGCTCTTAAGGACTACTTTTTAAGATACAAATACGAAGTCCTGCCCCTGGAAAGTAACAGCCCCTTAGAGCAGCACAGGCTGACTGGGGAGCTGAAAAAGACCTTGAGGTCTTGGTAGGCAGCAAGCTGAATGCGAGAAGACTAACAGCATCCTGGGCTGTATTAACAGGAACACAGCCAGTAGATTGAGGGGAAAGGATTATCTTTCCTCTACTTAACACTTGTTAGACCAAATCTAGAATAATGCATCCAGTTTTGGCCCAGTACAAGAAAGACATCAACAAACTGGAGCAATTTCAGCAGAGGGCCACCAAGGTGATTGTGTCCACCTGTCCTTAGAAGAGAGGCTGAGGGAACTGGCTTTGTTCAACCTGGAGAAAAGAAGGTTTTGGGAGGACCTAATAGCAGCCTTCTCATACCTATAAAGTTTTGAAGAAGAGCCAAGTTTTCCACAGCAGTGTATGGTGTAGGAGGATGAGAGGGAATGGGCATAAATTGAAAAGTGAGAGTCAGACTGGCCATCAAGAAATGTTTCCTCTTTGAAGGCAGTCAAGCAGTGGCTAGATATACTGTGCGGTCTCTGTCTTTGGACATTTTCAAGACCCAGCTGGATAAGGCCACAGGTAAACCTTGCCTGATCTTATAACTGACTCTGCTTTGAGCAGGAGGTTGAACTATATGACCTCTGGAGGCCATCTCTTCCAACTTGAATTGTCCCATAAGCCTATGATCTTGTAATAAACTAAAGACTCTAGATCCCAAGAAAAGAGACTAACTCAACATTTTACACTTTGAGTCACCTGCTTTCCTTTGTCTCATCTCAGATGCAGCAAAACTGCTGCTGCTAGGGAAGAGTTGGGTAAGATGAATGCATGCCTTAACCTCTTGAAGCTTCAGTCTTCTAGGCAGCATCATTGAAGATACCCTGAAGAGTTATGAGTTGCTATCCTCTTCCTCCCAAATCATCCTCCCCTCTCCATATTATCAGTCCTTCCTTTGGGCATTCCTCTCACAGAACTCTGTTGCAAGAGGACTCAAATGTATTCTTGCTTCTTTAAAAAACTGGTTGGGTGGCCGAGCCCAGAGAGTAGTGAT